CTGCTGGTGGCCTACATCACCGAGAACCTCCTGCCGCCGCCGGGCCGCCGCGCGCCCCCCCCGGACACCGCCTAGAGCCGCCGGGAGACGCGGCGGCGCCGCCTGAGGGGGCCTTCCGGCAGGTGTCGTACAGCCCCGCTCTGCTTGGGAAGGGAGGGAGTGGGGCCGCTCTTCACCCTTCAGGAGGCCCGTGCTGATTTGGGCGGTTTCAGAGCCGCCGCTTTGAAAAGCGGCTGTGGGGCAGGGCCGCGTCCTTCCCCGGCTATGCCGGCACTTCTGAGGAAGAAGGGGGAAAAATAGTTGAGGCGGCAGAAATCCCAGCGTCCGGCTGGCCAGACTTCCCGCTCCAACAGTGCTGTGGTGGCCCCGGGCTCAGAGGCGAGCGTCTTCTGAACTGCCAGAGGTTTAGACGGGCGTTGAAACGTTTCATTTGTCTCCTGCATTCTGGCCAAAGAGAGCAGAAAAATAGCTTCAGAAACCACCAGCCTGTTGTGGCTCCATCCAAAACCCTCTTAACTCTGTGGAGAGGGCTGTCCCCGACTGCCCTGGGGTTTGGATGCTCTGGGCTGCTCTCTGGGCCACGGGGACCTTGCGAACATCGGCAGGAGAGTTTGCCTTTGGCCTCAGCAGGGAGACTTGAAACATGGGGAGGGGGAGTGTGGGTCTAGCGGTTCTGTCCTAGGTTTCTGCCAGCAGAAAATTTCCCAAGGGCGAGCGGAGAGTCTGAAAACTGGGATTCGTGATGGGACTGAACGCTGTGAAAAGATGCTGAATAAATACCCTCTCTTCCTCCGGCTGGGGGGAGGGCTGCACGCCACGGCTGCAGACGAGCAAAGTCTCGCAGCCACAGATCTCCGTCATGCAGTAGCTGAGTGTTTCCCCCGTAGGAGCACTCGTAGCCAGTCACTCAGTGCTGTAGTTAATGAAGATTTCAGCCATACTCTAGGTATTGATGACATTGTGCCTTAGTGTTGAAGGTTTGTCCCATTGATTTCGGTTCTTTTCCTGTTCCTGTTGTAAACTTCGCTGGGACGCACCTATCTCCCGTCGTGTTTTGTCTCTCTTGAATTCAGAAATAAACTTAGACTGACTATGACTTGAACTGTCAACCAGTGTAAATGACTTTCCTAGAGCTCCTGTGTTAGTTTGGCTTCAGTACTGTAGCAAAAATACCCAGTACCAAGAACTTGCCAAAACAGATCAATCAAACTGGGGGGGTTGGGAGTGACGTTAGGCTTATATAGCAGGGTGCTATGGATAAATAGTCTCACAGGTGATCTGTCTTATAAATGTGTGTGTGTATGCGCGTGTTTGTCTTCAGTTAGCGCTCCATTAGCATTTCTTAGGTAGGATGTAAAGCGTAAACCTTGTAAGTAGATGGCACATGTGGAAAGTCTCTAGGATCTTGTATCACGATACCACATGTATACTAAGCAGATGAGCATAGCTGTACTACCAAGATTGCACCTCTTCTTTCTTCCATAGCTGTTTGGAGCTATGACGTTTTATTTGCTGTAGGACTGAAACAATTTGAGAGCAGTTTGGAAGCCGAAGGTTGGTTTCATCAGGCAAAAATCTCTCCCTCTCAGTTGTTTTCCTTCTCACACTGCTTTCTCTTCACTGGCTTCCTGCCTGGGAACCTTGATTTTAAAATAACCTGACAGTATTTAAAATATAATTGCAATTTTGAGATGAGCTCTGAAGGAGAACATCATTCTTTTTCCTCCCCGGAGAGATGTAATGCTTGAAAAACGTGCAGTTATTCTGAGAATATGAAGTTTTACCTCGTGGATGAGTTCAGAGGTTTTGAACCCAGCGTGAATTCGACCCAGTCCTTCCTCTGGCTGGTTCTGGGGAGGGAGAGAGGGATATTGTGCATTTCTATCAATCCTGTCACTCGGTGTTGCTCTTTTGTCCTTCACCTTGCCATGAATTGACAGACTTGAAAGTTAACTTTATAAGGAATGAGCCTTGTATCACCATGGAGATGACCGTAATGAATTAAAAGAGTATAATAAAAGGACATGAAAATGTTTCCAATCTCTGACTGATGAGTAGGGGGTGGGTGTTTCTGCCCAGGGCTGCTTGCAGAGATGACCTTGTCTATTGTAAAATTATTGTGGCATCATTTGTCGTGCAAACGAAAACCCTGTGTTCTGCAGGCACCTGAACTACATACAGACATTGCCGATTTAACACACCAGCCCAAGGGTGTTTTTTGTCCTAACATGGGTTTCCTACACGCACCATTTCTCCCTTTTCTGTTCTTGGACAACGTTCCACGTGTACGTGGGCTTGAACTGCTGCCAAAGGAGCTCAATTGAAGCCAAACCAGTGATTCCCAAGAGCCTTGAACCTGTCCCTGTAATGTTGATTGGATTTTGTGTTTCTAACCAAATGATCTTTAAAACCATTTCCCCCCCCCCATGGAAGTGTTAATGCTTTGTTCAGCTGCACAGCAAATAAGCGCCTTCTTTGATATGCCTGGCATTGTTAGCAGTAATCAAGTGGCCCAGTTTTTGCCCATGTGCTTCTATTTTCAACAGCATGAGCAATCAAATAGCATTGCTGGGGACTGCCATGGAGGACCGCCGTGTTCAGTGAGCAGCCGTAAGCATCATTATTCCCAGAAAGATTACTACATGGCTTGTTTCAAGATCGCGCACACAATTTCTGGCATGGCCAGGACTGGAATCTGGATGCCTTCACTTTTTAATCTGCTTTGAAGAAACAGTCAGGTTTAACAAGTGCTTTATTTCCCATATAAGGGGCTGGCTCCTGAGAGAGTGCTTGTAGACATAAGCCTAGTGAAGCCCGGAGACGTATGCTGCTTTACACCCGCTGGGGAAGTTGCCCATGCATTCTCTAAGAGCATAAAAATGAGCTGTCTTTTCTTATAATCAGGTGCTGGCAAATGTTGTATTTGGGGCAAACGTTGCACACCTAGTGAAGCCACATGTTTTTCAGCAGCTTAAGAGAAAAGATAAACACATGGCAAAGAACTAAGCCATTAAAATCCTGGCGGTATCCGCTTCCACCCGCAAATACCACTGTCCCAAAGTTCATTTGGGTAGGTAGGTGCCAAATGGTGGCTTCAATTGTGCAGCAGGTGGCAAGAGTCTCGATGATTCGTTGGTCTCTAGTAGGGGCATAGCTTTTTTGGCCCAAAGTGTTATTGGAACAGGAAGGCAAAATCCACACCTGCCCCAAAGATCTTACCGTGTGTACTCAAGATTATGTTGGAAGAAGTAACAGTGAGCATGGCTGATGTCTTGCAGCGTGACCTACAGGTGTAGATCTCTGTCCTAATCATGCCTCACAGAGGCTGAGATTCGTTGAGGTGATGGTCTTTGGAGTTTTATTTTAAATATATACT